ATCAGATCCTGGGCTGCACCTGCAGGGGCATTACTTGCAGAGGTAGAGATGTGATCATCCCACTCAGCACTTAACGGCCACACCGGGAGTATTGTGTCCACTTCTGGTCACCACCATCCAAAAGACACATGGACAGACTGGAGAGTGTCCGCAGGGGGGCCACAAAGATTGACGGGCTGGAGAACCTGCCTTCTGAGGAAAGACTGAAGGCATTAGGTCTCTTCTCCCTTGGGAAGAAAAGGCTCAGAGGGGACCCCACACAGTATTCCAGCACTTAAAGGGTGGCTGCTAAGAGGATGGAGGCTTTCTCTTCACAAGGAGCCAAACAGAGAAGACAAGGGGTACAGGCTGCACCAGGAGAGGCTTAATCTCAATATAAGAATTTTTTATAGCGACATCAGTCATTCAGTGGAACAAGCTCCTGGGGGACATTCTAGAGTCCCCATCTTGAGAGGTTTTCAAGATGCGATTGGACAAGGTGCTAGATAATCTCATCTAGTATCCCTTTCCCATGGAACCTTGGACGAGATGATCGCTCAAGATCCTTCCAACCTGAGCAGTTCTATGATTTTATGATTAAATAATTCACTTTGTTCATCAAGTCTTTTAATGGCCAGCTGTCAGAGAGGGATCTTCTGTGCCACCTATTTGCTCAGACAGGAAGGACTGCAAGGTGGATAGGCAGAGAAGAGATTTAAAGGGTGTTTAGATTACCTAATGACTCCAACCACAGACAGCCAGGTCCCCACCAGCCCTTGTTACATCTCCACCTCCTTGGGATTTCCTTAGGAGTGTGATTCATAGCTTCACGGAGGTCAGTAGATGGGCTGTATTAGCAGTGGCAGAGTTGGGGAATAGCCACATTGTGATGCTCTGACACTGCTCATGGTTTGGGCAATAAAGGACGTCCTGGCACCTCAGGTGAATCGGCCGCAGTGCTGTGGGTGAAGCCTTTCTAGTAAGCAGCAGTAATTACACGGGCAGTAGAAAGCCCGGTTGTTAGCGGCCGGGTAATCAAACCGTGTGTCCCTGGAAGGCGTGGATGGGTGACCTGATGCCGATTACCTTCACCCCGGGCATGCTGCTGGGGAGATGGGGGTCCAGCCGCCCCTTAGCTGGGGAGGTCGCTGCTCCCAAAACTGCTGCAGGGTTTGCATCCCTGCAGCAAGGCTCTGTGGTGTGGAGCTCCCTTCCTTGCTTTCTTTGCAGACTCTGACAGCCTGTAATCATTTTATCTCTCAGCATTAATGGCAGCAAGCAATAAACTTGCATCCTAATTATTGTAATTATTTCTTTCTTTGTACGTCAGCCTTGGTAACGATGTTTTTACAGCCGATGAGATGGAAGGGAGGGGAGAAAAGAAATATTGTCACAGTAATGAAGAAAGAGCAATGAGCATACTCCTTTCCATTCACTTTCCTCAAGGTTTTAGAGCCCACTTGAGTTTCCTGTTCTCTAAGGTCACAGAAATTAGCGATGATTGCCCTAATACTGCAAAGTAGCAGCAATCTAGGACTAAATTTGTAATTGATCTTAAGTACCTACCTGCCAGCATAGTCCCTGAGGTGCCTGAATGTCTCCAAAGTCCCCTGTACCCACTGTGTACTAAGAACTGCCTATTTCTTGATAGCAGGAGAATCTCACTGTTTTGCTTAACCTCAGGCATGACTTACAAGCTAAGTGTTATCCCAGTCTTCTCTATGGGAATTGCATATAGAGGGGGAGAAGCTGCTCTGATCACCATTTAAAATTCACATGGTCTTTCAGAGGGTGGGATTCAGCCTCCATTTCTTCCCCAACACGTTAGCACCATGAGGGGAGGCTGGTCCCAGCCACTGGGCAGGAATTTCTTTCTGTGCTGTAGCCCAGGTGCTGGAGAACAAGAGCAGCATTTGCCCACCCGCTGTAATCCCTAATCCAGAGCATGGGCTGAGGAGGAACCCAGGCCCACAGCATTTTGGAAAGCTGTGCTTGGCTACTGAGCTGCTGTACGTGGCAGCACATGGCTCAGAGCAGCTGCTGCTAAACATGAGATAGAAGAGACCTTACTAGAAGAAATGTGGGCAGCTAAGATACTACACAGGAATTTGTAAAGCACCCAGGTCCCTGTTTAGAGACCTAACACTAGATGCCCAAGGGGACATCAGACACTTAAGCCCAGACTTCAGCTAGGAATTGATGGTTGCCTGGCTTCTGTTCCCAGGGTCACCTACACAGAGTCTCCACACAGAGTCCTCCCTCTGTCCTTCCCATTCATCCCATCCAGGTCAAAAGCTCCGTGCAGAACAGTCTCACCAGGTAATGAGCAGGAAGTATCAGACAGGCCCCATGTGTGAGTGGTAACAGCCACTAAGGTCCTCTCCTGTGCTGGTGTGAGGTGCTGTCATCTACACTAGCGTGTACACAAGTAAATTAAAGCTTATTAGAGGCCATTCATGGGCCCTGGACCTTGTTCATGAACACTGATGGAACCGGCCTAAGGCTCCAGGCTCTGCACTAATACTTCTTTTAATTGCCCATTATTGATATTTCTGTAGCCAGGTCTTTCTTGGGGATCTTTTCTGTGTTAGGGTGTTTGCTTGGGCTTTCCCACTTCACCCAACAAAATTGCTGAATTAACTGGTGTTTGGGTACCATTTTAATGACTGATCAGCATATCATCAGAGAACCAAGGCAGGAAAACTGCTCTATACAGCAGTCCATCTCTGACATGGGATTGTCTGCACCCAGTGCATCTCAGATGGTATCACAACTCGGATAAGCTTCCATCTCTTTCAATTTCACTAACAAGAAAAAAGAGTGAAACACAGACAGCAACCACTACCTCATGGCCTCCTTTCTAGACTCTTGCTGGTTTCAGCAGCCCCTCGACCACATCGGGGCTGTTTCAGCACGTGGTGAGATTGTCCTTCCCCCCTCCGCATGCTGTATTTTGCAAGCTGTGTTTCCCAGCCTGTCTTGCTTTTAAATAGTGACTTGTTCCAGTGTAGACCTGGGCTTCCCACTCCTCAAAAAATACCTTAAATCCTAAACTGTGGTTTAATGTGCACATTTGTCTGATTTACTGGGTTGGCTGGTCCTGCCACCTCTGCTCCCTCCAGGCCATAGGGACCCAAGCAATGGCAGGAGTCCTGGCCGGGCAGTGCCTTTCTGCCACCAGCTCTGGCTCTTCAGACGTGGGCTCCTTCACTCTCAGAGCCGTCTTTCAGGATGACACTCTCTTTACTCAAGTCCTCATTCTTCCCCATTTCTCCCTGACGTTTCAAAAATAATTACCAGTGGTTCAGTAAGTTCATTAGCAAACTCCCTTAGGACCCTGGCTATGTATCATCCAGCCCTGCTGATTTGTGGATAGGCTCTAATCAAGTGTTTCAAGTCTCTCTCTCCTTCCTCCTCCTTTCAGATTAACAGTTATTTTGACAAGATTCTCATTATTTCCTATTTCCTGGCAGTACCCAGGGACTGGGCTTATTTGAGTCCTCACTGTTGTCATTGTGGGTTTATTTTTAACCTCAGGCTCAGCTTCTCCACAAGGGCAACAGAGTTTTGTGTTCTTCAGAAACTCGTGGCTTTGTCAGTGCCACTTTAGTCTCAGTTCATCCTGGATCTTCCAGCGCTCTCTGTCTTTTGCCTTTATCACTTTTTATTCTTCTTCCCACTGCTCCAAAATTAGCCAGAAGAAATGACTGCTTTTGCAAAGCCTACAAAGTCACAACCCTTCTCCACCTTCTTAGATGTAGGCCACCTTCTTTGCTGCAATTAATTTCTCGTCTTCCTCTTCTTATTTTCCTCCCTGCTGACCTCTCTGGTGTGTACACATTTTCCAAGTCTCCATTTTCCTTCCCAACACAACCATCCACTGGCTCCTGCTGGAAGGGACCCAACCACCAGAAAAGCCAACAACAACCCCATCCAGCTTAACAACATCTTTAAATGCTGGGGGGCAAACTCAGGTTTACCAGCAGATGAAAAGCACAGTTGATCCACTTTCGGGTTCCCCCTGTGCAGGGGGAAGGCAGCATAGAGAACATGGCAGCTCTGCATAGGCTTTTCCCACCCAGCTGCCTCTGTTGTCCCCTGCCCTTTCCAAATACACACACAGGAGCTCAGCCCCTCGTTGTCCATCTTCATTAGCCCAAAGTGAGTGTCATGCCCTGCACATGACTGCTGAAGAGGATGAGGTGTAAAGTGGAAGGAGGAAGGAGAGATGAGGCTGAAGAGCAATTTTTCTTTCAAATAACTTCCACACCTCTGCACCTTCCCTCCTATCAAGAGCCTCCAGCCCATGGGATTAGCCCAGCCTCATTATCCTTGATTTGCAAGAGATATCTGAACTCAAACACTTCCATTTGAAAAAAGCAGTCAGGTTTTTTGTCTGTAGTCACCAACATCCAGCTCCCTGCAGTCCCTCAGCCGCACATCCGCAGCCATCAGATCCGTGTGCCCCCGGCTGGCTTTCCACCTGACACCACCCTTCCTGGGTGCACAAGGAGGACAAGGTCAGCAGGAGCCCCAGGCTCCCACAGCACAGCACGGCTACGGAAGGGGCTGAACCACAGGGCATTTTTTAGAGGGTTTTTCCCCCACTTTGCAGCACTCGTTGATAATTAGAGGAGTAATTACGGGGCTTATTCCAACCAAGGCAGCAGGGACCCCAAACTGCTTGGATTGCTTTTGCATGTGACAGTGTTACAGGGATGCATCATCCTGCTGCAGATCTATATGTGGGCTGGAGCATCTTACTTGGACTAATTGGACTCTGTTGTTTAAATCAGAGACAACATTTACCTCCCTGGCAGAGGCACAAAAAGCATTAATTTGGGGGAGAGCAAGGGAGAGGTAAGAGAAGCACACACAGAGTTTCATGTAGATAAGAATAAAAGGTGTGTTCATTGTTTACCCCTTGTAATGCAAGATTGGGTTTGTTTTAAGCCTAAAAAGAAAATTGTTGAGTAAGAAAACTAACTAGAACTTTATTATTTTTTTTTTTATGAATACAGTGCTGTGGTTCTGGATGGAAAAATATATGCCACTGGTGGGATCGTTAGCAGCGAAGGACCTGCCCTGGGAAACATGGAAGCCTACGACCCTAAAACAAACACGTGGACACTTCTACCAAATATGCCCTGCCCTGTTTTTCGACACGGCTGCGTAGCAATCAAGAAGTACATCCAGAGCGGCTGATGTTACCCAGGAGTTGGATGGAGAACTGTTTGTACCTGTTGAAAGCAGGCAAGAAGGATACTACTACTTAAGAAACGAAAGCAGCAAAGCCAGCCAGTGAACATATTGCTCTAAAGTCTTGAATAGTGTCTACATTGAATGTAGAAAAATCATCCTCACCTTTTGGTGAACAAGGAGCAGAGAGCTCCGTGCTATGTAAGATAATTGTAACTTAATAGTACAAGAGTGTCACTAGATGTTATAGTGGCACTTGTTCTGGACATCGGCTTTTGGTCAACCCAGGTGCAATAGAATTTCACATATTTTTTAAGCTGGGGAAGAGAAGAAAAAAGAAAATCTGCATTTTACTTTAGAGCTCAAGCTTGATTCTTAAATAACCATGCAGATTAGTTTTACTATTACACTTTAGGCATCAATCTATTTGAAAGGTCAAAGTGTCCTTACCACTTTGATTCCTACATTTGTTTTTAACAAATACATGCTTTTCAATACCAATGACTGAGAGGAATCTTGTGTGACAGATGGCTTACATTGATGTCAGTCTTCCATCAGATCAAACAAATCTTTCAGTTCTCTAGAGCAGAGCCCGGAAGGGAGGTGAGGTGCGACTGGGGAGGAGAATTGGTAATAAATTCCGTTTTAAAAGATTAAACACAAACAGGTCTGTTGGGCTGGATGAGTTTCTGCTCTGGGTGATGCTTGTGTGGGCACGTGTGGCCATGCCCACAGGTCAGGGGGCCTTCTAAACCACTTCCTCCCGCTTTCAGCTGATGAGCGAACTCGCAGTGCTCCATTCCCGTAATGCAAAATGAAAACGGTTTCGATTCCAGGGGCATTCTCCTGATAAACCTGAGATTTGGGATCCCATCTGGAGATTTGATTGGGATCCCATTAAAACACACAGCGTGGTGTGGGACTTCAACATTTTCATCATATGGAGAAGGCACCTCCTGTTGCAGCTGCGCACTCAGTTTTGGCTCTCAACCAAAATTCCTTACGTTGGGATATACGCCACTATCTTTTATGTAAAGTCTGAGAAGTTTTTTATTTTACTTTCTGAGTTTCCCCATAGGTGTGGAAACCTTATACTTCTCTTATTTACATATTTTAAACACACGAGTTTAAATCCCATGGTAGAAAAATGCATAGACTTAAGCCCAGTATAAGAGACTTAAAATGATTACTATGTAGAGTTGTAAGTATATGCACAGCACAGGGGTTATATTTTTATATATATTAAAATATTGTCTATCCAGAGAGCATTGTGACGTGGAAATTCTTTATAAATTTATACATGAAAGGATCAAATGGGAGATGGACCGGGTAACGTAGAGGGGGCAGGGGAAAGAAGCTTAACATTCACAAATAAGAAGTAACCCCAAGCTAAGGATTGTCCAATTTCATTCCAAGTAGAGGGAAAAAAGTTGCCATACTTGCCTTTGCAGACTCAAATCCCAAATGCCATGCCAGTAATTCAAGGAGAGTCCTGTACAGGGTGTGGGTGAGATCTTACAGTCAATATCTAGTTGAATTTCATACCAAATACGCTAGCCTTTTTATAGGGAGGGAGGTCTGCCTACAGCTTTGGGGAAATCAATGCAGATGGTTAGCTAATCATCTTATTTTATTAATAATCGTTTATAAAATAAAAGAAAAAAAAAAGACATTTGTATCTTGCAGTATTTAAAGAAAAAGTGCTCAAGTCAGCTGAGTCAAGCTATAGGGTGACTCAAGTCTCTCATTTTGACAGTGAGGTTCCAGCCTTTGTTATGCAGTTGTTTTATTTATTCTTTAAAGAAAAAAAAATAATAATAAGCACAACAGAATTATATACTAGTATGTCATTTAAAGTATTTATGTCAAACAGGGTGCAAGTGTGAACCTAAAGATTGGAGCACAAGTTTCTAACTGCCTGAGGCAGGACTAATTTTAGTGTTGGTGTGTGTCTACCTCCAAAGGAGGTGCTACCTGTCAACAAGACCTAAACACATTCAACGTTTCCAATTTAGCTTATTTCTTCATTTCTCACACTGGAACAAAACTGGCTATTTCTGTGAATAATATTAAAAACAGGGTTATCTGTAATGGTATTGTATATAGTTTATGTTTACTGTTAAGTTCTTGTTATATTATAATAAATATATTTATAGATCTAGATTCAGCATCCAGATTGGATTAATTCTGTCACAACCGACCAAGAAGCAACACTGCATGAACAGAGACTTCAGGTTTCATCCCAGCCATGGATGAAAGTGTGTCCATTCCATCCAGCTAGTTTCGCTTGCACATCCCAAAATTCATTGCTGATATTTAAATGCTCAAAAGAACTTCCATTGCTGATACTTAAGTAGCTTCCAAAGAACTTCCATTCTTATTCCAGAAAAAGTTCTTGGAAGTGATTCTGGATTTTATTCAGCAAGACTGTTTCTTCTTCATCCATTTTCCCAAACTTACTATTAAGGAATAAGGGCTCTCAAGATACTTTAGGAAAGTATCTTGAAGAAAAGCACTGCTGAACAGCTTTGTTGTTGTTGATGGTTTTGTTTTACATGAAGGTTAGGATTTGTACTGTGCTGCTGCTGCAGTGTCTAAAAGATAAAAGCTACCTCTGCCCTATGGTCAAAATTCCTTCCTGTCTGGAGTGGGAGTTCTGTATCTCACTGGATACATCTTTCAGAGAGCACTTAAGTGCAGCCGTTCATGGTTTCTTTGATGTTTCATTAGGATGCCATCTGGTAGTTGTAAAACTGGATACGGAACAAAGATGCGCCGAATATAACTAGTCTCAAATACCATCGCAGTGGAACATTTCAGCTGGATCTTAGGAGGTAATATCTGCTCTACACATTAACAGGAAGAATCTAACATCTATTGAAATCGTCTCCAGCTCTTACAGAGTACATCTGTGCAAGTATTTAAGAGTGTGAAGCGCAGTTTTTAACCAGCTTCGTGGCTCGGGTTGCGCAGCCTGTGAAGGGTACCAGAAGCCTTGCGATGTCACACAACCCTGCTGCAACGATCGGCACCAGGTGGAAGGAGCTGCCAACCTTTTCACCAACACCCTGTGAAGATCTCCTACTCAGCACTAGTCACTAATACTTGGTAGGACAACGAGATGCAGGCTATTTGCTTTACTTGTATGTGGAAATCATTTCAGTTCCCCTCTGGGAAGCTGCTGAGCACTTTTGCCACATGAGTCGTGTGCACCTCTGAGAGCTTTGAGAAATTCAGGGAGAGGCTGGCTCAGCCTCGTTACGATAAACGCTCTTTGTTCACCGGCTCTGCTCTCCCCTGGCTCACCTGGGAAGGAGGGTGATCTCCACGTGGGGCTGTTGGCTGCGTTCAGGTAATCACCCACCCCTGACAATTTACACAATCATCCACCTTTCTCCCCTTGTTTCATCTAGTGGCAAACACACTGTACTAATAAAGCCTCAGCAACCCCGTCTTTTAATTAGCTGCAGCTCGGTGTTAAGGCTGAGCTTAACTCAGTGCAATTGGAGCAAGCTAATTAGAGCGTTCGTTACACTTCAGCTTGCCCTTGCTGGAGTCCGGACAAACTGAACGCCAGCACGAGCAGCCACCTTCTGCAGCTGCAGGGATTCAGGGATTAGCTGGAAGAGGAGCCGCAGCCTGAGCTTCTGCCTGACTTCACGAGCACCATTGTGTTTAATGGGCAGAGACAGCAGAGGCCCAGACTGCTGCCAGTACTTACCCTCCCGCCCAGCTTCTCATGAGGAACTTCTCTGAAAAACATGGAACTGATCCCAAAGCTTCTCTCTGCTGTCTCACATGCAAGGGCAGGGCCTCAGAACCATCCTGCCTCCCCATCGCCAACCGAAAGAGGTGACTTACTAAATATAACAGGGGATAAACCTCCAAAACAGGGCATGCAGTCAAGCCCTGGCAGGCTGCAGCCAGTGCCAGTCCCCTAGGAAGACACTGACTCTGTATCCACTTTGACATTTTTACAACTTGCCGTGCTAATACAAGGTTTTTAACTTGGATGAGAGCCTGAAGCTCACCCCCTTAATGCCTTCTTTCCCATTTCAAGTTGGATAAAACAGAGAGATGAAACATGCTTTTGGCTGAAGTTGAGGCACCAGCATGTATGGGAAGGCAGCAGTAAGTTAAGTTCCCATCACCAGCGAGTGTTCTGGGTTGATAACTTCAGGCAGCAAAAAAGTCCAGAAAGAAAACGGTCTGGAGGGAAGCAGATGGATGTGTCTCAGGCACAGTGTTCCCATCACTCATTACATTAAGCTGGACAGCAATACCAGAACAGAAGCACTGCTTTTCCTCTGAAAAGCCAATCTGTTTGAGGCATGATTAAACACTCGGTGAGGTTAGAAGTCATGAAAGCAGGCGCTGCCATCGCGGGCTCCTTAGCTGAGCTGTGCAAGCATGACAGGCACAGCAGCACCATCTCCAGCGGCTGGAGACTGAAACAAAAAGCAAAGTGGCAAACTACCTTAAAAACCAGCTCTCCCAGTGGTGGTGGTTTTCCCGGTCTCCAGAGGTTTTCCTTCTGATAACACACAGCTTTTTGTAATTCCTATTTAGCTTGCAGATTTCTTAAAGAGTAACAAATTCCACTTGATCTAAACAAATTCTGCTTCTTTCAGTAAGAGCTTTACATACAGAATTACGTGTTTTGGCTCTGTTACTACCTGGGAGAAGGAAGCTCCAGTGCTGTCATCAAGCCAAATCTGACTCTGAGTTTTTCATTAGTGGTGGTCTACACAATGAAGGTTTGAAGGGATGCCTGCTGGGTTTCATTTCATCATCTGTTATTTTCAACACCATTCTCGTTGTCTTCAGAGCTCATCTCCCAAGGTTCATACTGGCACCAGTATCCAAGTCTTTCACGACCTGTCCAGAGAACAGCACTGGTAACCCAGGGCTTTTTAATAGCTTGACAGGCAACTTCAGCATGTAGCTTGTAAGCAAATTAATACAGAAGTAGGAATTGTGATGACAGCTGGGGCTGAGCTGAGGATTGCTCTAAGTCATGCCTCGCACCACAGGCAATGCACACGCTTCCTCCAGCATCGTGACCATTGGTGACCGTTTCTCATGGTTTTGTGGCTGAAGAGCAGGCACCTAACAGAGGTCACCAGTGACATTCCCACAGAAGCTTCAGCTTCCCACCTCATTAAAGAAAAATGTGTTTATTACAATAATCACTGTCAGAGGTAGAAAGGAACCAATTCCTGCCCAC